GTAGGGAAACCCTAAAAGGTGCTTTGGTATTCCACATAAATTACATATTCAGAGTGCTCCTGTTCAATAAGATTATAGGCATTGCCAAAAATTATTGTCTGTCTAGATCACTCTGCTGCAACCACTAATCATAACTATGGCCACTGTTGATGTAGTCACCTAAATGTTTTGTCTGCTTAGTCATCTTTTCTGTTTAATATACTTCCATGTATATTTTCTAAGTTTATCTTCACTCGAATTCAGGCTCTCTTGTCTTCTGCCTTTCTGAATGCCTCTCTTCCCTTTTAGACACTCAATTCCAAGGTAAACTATGGTGAGCTTCTCCCAGGGACTGGCTTCCATCCTTTGCAGCAGAATTTGACAACCTCTTTATTCAGGTTCCCAGGCTTCCCATTTCTTAACCCCTTTGTGTCCCATTTTCATATCTGCCATAACTGTCTTCCACTAGGGTGACTGTGTCCAGTGTAAGAAGTCTTGTACAGAGGTGACAAAATTGAAGGATGTAGGAAGAAAAGACCTCATTTGTGCCAGCTGATGAGAGTAACCATTGCTATTATTTCTCATGTTTGCATATCACATTCTTTATTTACATGTTTGTGTCTACAGATATGTTCCTGCATTTGTTGATATCAGTTTGTTTATTTAGCACAGTGAGTGTTGTGCAGTGTGTTTCTGTGTTAGTGATTGATGTGTGGCCATGAATGCAGGTTATTCTCAACACAACTCCTCTCTCTTGCTCTTGCTGCATCGCTTGGAGAGGGTCCTAGCTACAGAGACTCTGGCTGAATCACTGGAGCGCCATCACCCCGTGAATCACTCTAGTTACCATCATTGTGAACCTTCTTCCAGCAAAACCAGGAGCTGACTCACCTACCTCTGCCCAGCATCCGAGAAATCATTTGTGAAGAACTGGATGCACAGACTGCAACCTGCATGTGACTGAGTTCTCCATAATCAGGGCCAATGGGTTATATGAGAACGCTAGTCCCCTGGGAAGGGTCACCACACAATGAATGGATTGTGTCCCCAGACCTGTGGTAATGAGACAGAAAATTTCAATATCCCTAAGGATATTTTTATCCTTTCTGGTCAGAGACACTTTCTGGTTACAGATGATCTGCAATTTGCATCCTCTAGCAAGAACCCTCTCCAGATAGGTCCCAGGAGTCTAATCAGTCAGAGGCATCCTGTACTCCCACTTACACCATAAACCTCACTCTAGCACCAGCTACTTTTGACAGATAGGCAGTGAAGGCAGAGAAAGAGCTCTGTAGGAAAAAAAAAAAAAACAACAACAACAGCATTTCCTCAAAGTCAGCTTGGAAATATCTGTACATTTAGAAAATGTCAGAACCAGAATTCAAACTTAAGTCTCTCAATCTGAGCTTTCCATTTTATGAATTACACTGATGATTTTTTTTGTGAGAATTTAGTGCTTCTAACATTCTGTAGAATATTAATTAGTAGAACATGAGAATAAATAACATTCATACGAAGGAAAGCAGCCTAGCATACATACAAAGAGCACGTCCACCTATTTGTTCTATGACTTTGGCCAATTTAATTTGCTATTCCAAGCTTTGGTTTCCTCACAGGCAAAATGAGAGAAAGTTATATCATCTCATGAGATTGCTTTAATGGTATAGGATAATGCCTAGAAAGTACTCAGCAATCATTTATTAAAAATTAATAAAAATAGGTTATTATAATTATTGTATGGCATTATCTTTGAAGTAAACAATTTGGGTCAGATAACTTAAATTTAAATGACTTTCCTGAAATTCAATAGTTGAAAGATGTTGAAGGCATTTATTAACCTCTGTGAGCTTCATGTTATCTCTATAGATTCATAAGGGTAATGAAAATGACAATTTATATTTCATAGTTTTCCTCTGAATTGAGTGAGATGATGCTTTTAACTAAAACAGCAGCATTTGACAATAGATAGAAGATATTATTAAAATGGATATTATTTTTATTACTTATTTGAAATAGATATTTTTAATGTTGAATTTGAATACAATAACAGCAATTATGTTTTAGTTTACTAGATTACTCATAGAAACAACTCTTATTTGTTCAGGAAATGTATTTAGTTTGACTGCTAGATGTCAGTAATGCTCATATGACAAGCAATTATTTCTTATTTTCACCTATATTTACTAAAATTTTGCTGTGAATTTGATAACACACATATTAGGTACTCAATTTAGATAAGCTAAATCGATAAAAACATGCTTGTCAATTTAGAATTTTATATATGTAGTAGTCAAATCAAACACATTTCTTTTACAAATCACAAAAGAGCTCGTGAGCTGTCAAGCTAGGTAACTGAAATTTTTCAAGACATTTCAAATATATCTTTACTTGTATAGCTTCAACGTTAATAACCATCTTTTTTATGGGGCTTTGATTTATTTTATGTTAAATTACTGTAAAGATTGAAATGTTAGTGCCTCTTCTTGATTATTTACAATATTCTCTACAAAATTTAATATATCTGGCTATATATTTTCATATTCATGATTTTGAATTTCAATATTAGTTAAAGCTTTAGAAAACTCTAGGTGTTCCTTAATACCCATGAATCTTATAAAACATATAAAAGAATACTCCAGGCATATCAATTTTTTCTTCATCCCACTTTGGGCCTTAAAGAGAGAATACTCTAAAATTACGTGTGAACCCCGAGGAATATAAACAAAGAGCATGGATGGTGATTACATGATTATTTCACTTATTTTTTTAAAAAAATTTATCCTCAAGGTAAACATACTAGATTTGATTTCAAAGTGTATTTGTCCAAATGATTTTTTAAAACTCAATATCATTTTGGATAACTTTTGGACTGTCTAAAAGGATAAAAAGAAACTCAAATCTCTTCTAAGAGAACTCTGAGAACAAAAAGAGAGACAGTATCTAATATCACAGATATCACCCTGAAAAAAATAGTATAAAATAGTAATTGAAAGGAGAATATATAAAAATGCTGGCTTTCAAGTTTTGTTCAGGTTTTCCACCAGCTCTTCATTTATGTGGGCCAACGTGCAGGCTACCTTCTCTATGCATCTCCAGGATCACTCCACACTCTGTGTCCTAGGGACTTGCCGGTGTGGCTGCATGGTAGCTTCCCTTGCCCTTTGGCACCTGGGTGGCTTCAGAAAATGAAAAGTACAAGCAGGAGGACAGGAGGGAAGTAAAGTCAGAATATTTATTCTAATTTCTACCTGCTCTCTCCTTGCAGGTCACCATGGGCTGGGTGATCCCCTCAGAATAAATCCTAACTTCCACATCTAGGTATCTTCACATTGCTTTCTGAATCTC